TTTTTTTTTTTTTTTTTTTTTTTTTTTTTTTTTTTTTTTTTTTTTTTTTTTTTTTTTTTTTAAATCCTCTTTAAACCACCAGTACCTCGAAGCCTGTTTTTGCCGACCCTGAATTTCATTGCGCTCCGAGTTTTGTCGAGCCTGGGTACCACTTCGTTTTCTTTCTGGTACTCTCACGAAAAGAACAAAAAAAATCAAAAAAGAAGAAGAAAAGTTGCGTTTGTTAACCTCATAAAATAACAAAAAAAAAAAGGAAACAAAACTTTGGTCGTGATTGCAGTTTCATACATTTTTGGAAGTGGTAGTGTGAGTGTGCCCTCAATGAGGGCATCTCAGCCCCGTGGCCAGGTTGTCAGATTTTAAAAAGAGAATAAAAGGGGAAAAAAACGGGCACATGGATCAGGCCGTGAAAATGGCTGGATACATTCCCCTAAGTATCAGTGTGATGAGCCTTACAATCCTCTGACAAAACACAGCTTGAGCAGATCACGGACAGCTTGAGCAATTCACGGACAGGGGACTCATAAGAAATACACGACCAACAAAAAAAAGAAAACAATAACATTCAGAATGTGACCGCCTTACCTGTAAGGTGCATTCTGTGGAGGAAGATTGTGAGCACGGCCTTCTAGACTACCCAACCGGACATCATTGCAGGAAAGAAAACATTTTTTCCTCCTGGTGGTTTAAGGCCAAAAAAAAATAAAAAAATACGGGGTTGTAGATCTCGACAAGATCTACAACCCCATTTATTTATTTATTTTTTTTTTTGCCCCTAAAACACCTTCGGACGGCCGTCGTCCGTACGTCCGTCCATACACACGGGCCGTACGGAGATCCCCCGTACGAGGGACGAGCGACGACACAGGCATCATTTCTCCCAGACTCCAACCCTCCTCTATCCTTGCATGAACTCCCCCAATCCGGAAGTTGTGACCACTCTCCCCTTCATAAACTCCCGCCTCCTCAAACCATTTCTCTATTCGCTTGTTAAGACCGCCACCACTTACTGGACCATCACCACGCATTGACCGAAACAAGTAACCTCTCCTCACATCCTGCCCCAATCTATCGTAACTATTTACCAACTCTGGAAACCAACCCAAAAAAATATCCTCTCCCACTTCAGGATCACGCAACCTTATCATGAACCTCCCACCATGACGGTCAGTTTTAGTATACCCTGGCAGCACAACCCTCTCACTGACATCTATCTCTTTGTACTTCAATCTTGATCCCTCTCCACAACACTGCCAACTCTCCCATAAGTAAAGAAAAGCCCCCCCATCTCGATAAGCCTGAGCCTCCGCATACCCCTTCAATATCTTCAACTTCCCTCTAATATGCTCCAATACCTTCTTCAATTTCTCCCATCTCAAAGGCCGCGCAGACTCTTCAACAACACCTCTTTGCAAGGAATACTTTCGATATGCTTTACGACAAGCTCGCACCCTGCTACTCTGGCAAGGATCTTCTTCCCCATCTCTCCCGAGCAGACGAAAACAAGCACTCAAGCAATTCACAACCGCATCTACTGTGGACGAAGATACAAGCGGGAGGCCTTCAACATTGGATGTTCGGCACCGACTCTCTACCTCAACAAGCCATTGGCTGCTGACGAAGGACAACATATCGAAATCGGCATAGGTCATACAACCCCTTCCAACCCCGTTACGCTCCAACCACTCATTTAACGCAATAAAAAATTTATTCATTCCACCTTTCCATCGTCGACCAGCCCCATATTCGCGAATCAAGGCGCTGCTCCACTCAAGATCAGCTTCGTATCCACCTGCAAACTCCGGAGTGCTACGCTTCTGTCTCCAGCCGCCATCGCTCACTCGTTCGTTCCACCATTCCCTGCAAGAGGACGATGTCACTTGCGGGACGATGGAGGGAGTTGGGCGGTCCTAGGAGGTGTGCGGGCCTGCGGCCCATTTCCTTGACTCACTTTTGAGCGATTTGGCATTATCGACGGACTTCCATTTTCCTATTTTACCTGGAAGAGACCAACACAACATTATGCCTGCAACTCTGCACCTGGTTGCACGCAAGGTTGACGGGACAAATCCAACAAATCCAACATCCTCGACTCACATCATCAACCACTAACAGTTTACGGTTGGGAATTGATACCGGAACATCAACATTTGGGACCTCACGTACAAACCACAGATGTACCTCATCCAAGGGTCGACAGGACGCCTCACAATGCAGTTTTCTAAGATCAACGACGGTTAACTTTCGATCCACTATCTACGGTTCTGCTGAGTTGAAAGTGACACTCACCCTGGCTGAAGTACGACCTCACTGGTCCGTCCGCTCCCACTGCCTTGACCTGCGATTGTATAAGTAACAGGCGCCTGGCCAACTACGATAGCTTGCGTACTTTCCCGAGCTGCGCCTTCCAGGCCCCGACCGCTCGCAGCGTTCATCGCAACGCAAACCTGCGTGCACGCCACACAAAGGGGTCAGGTCTTTCAAAGGTCGAGTCCTTTTCCTCGCCTTGACTTGGTGAAGCGGTCCCGCCCGCCCTTGATTTTCCCGCGGTGTGCGGGCCTGCGGCCCATTTCCTTGACTCACTTCTGAGCGATTTGGCATTATCGACGGGCTTTCATTTTCCTATTTTATCTGGAAGAGACCTACACAGTACGCATCTATCTCATCCTCTCACTAGTCTATTTATGGTATGGGGAAACACCAACCAACCCGGATCTCTCCCCAGCCCACGGGGTAGGTTTGCACCACAGCTGTGGTGCGAGAGCAAGGCTGTACCAGTCCCTCATCACGGTGACGAGGGGTGGGCAGGCATTGCCGATGGGGGAAATCAGTGGCGCGCAATGGCCAGTCACTGCACCTCCCTCTACCCCCCCCCATTTCCAGTTTCGGGCTGAAATAGTTAAACGCTGCTAGTGGGGAAAAAATACCGCACGGTAAAAAAAAAAAAAAAAAAAAAAAAAAACGGACGTTCTGCGCTGGGAGCGCACTCCGTTATCCATCCTATCCGGGGGCTAGGCCCCACTTACAGGAATTAAGCGATATTGACCGTAGATAGCAAGGATCAACGTTCTGCGCTTGGACCTCCAGGTATCCAGATGTCTGACAGCCGGGATAAACTGTGAGCTGTGGTGGTTGTGGGGCGGTTGCGCGTTTGAGCGCGCGCGTGTCACGAGGCAGGGCAAGGCAGGCATGTATATATATGTACATGGGCAATTGGTGATTATGGCAGATACCTCGAGACGCACATGAGAGGAGCTTGAAGAGGTAATGGTGGACAAGTCTGTCGTGGTTGGGCTATGCGGTTTGTCGCCGTACCCTTCGCGGCTGGGGGAGGTGGGTCGGATTAGCGCTTGAAGCTGGGCCTGCCTGGCACTCAACTAGCACTCTACTAGCGTTGACTTGCGTTGACTGGCGTTACGCCACCGTCACTACCGTTGGCGCAGACGTCCTCCGCAGACGTCCTTCGGTTGTCAGACTGCGCCATCCGTGGAGTGTTGACTTTGACTTCGTAACCCGTTGTTGAACACGTAGTCGAAGATGGGTGGGCCGTTCAAGCTCCCGCCACTGCTGTACGATATGGGTGCGCTGGAGCCGTACATCGATGCCATGACGATGAAGGTACATCATGGTGGTCATCACGCGACGTACGTCAGCAAGCTGAATGATGCCATCAAGGTATATTGGCCATTCTAATTCTGTCTCTGTAATTTTCGCATTCTGTTCGAGGATCCCTTCTTATGTCGGTGAAACTCCGACGAAGCAGTTTGTCACAGCCCCTCCCTCGTTTGTTGTCCTCTTCTCCCTCCCTCTCTCTCTGCCTACGGTTTACCGTACGCAGCTCTGTCTGACTATGTATAATGCGCAATATTGGGCATTGAATGTGTTTCTGTCGTTTTTCTTCGTTATATGCAAGTGGTGTTTGGCTTTCCCGAGAGGAAAGGTGGTTGTTACCTTGGATGTGTGCACAGAGCGTCGTGAGTTAGGGGAGTCGTGAAATTCTGGTAAATTGCTGCAGTGAAATTCTGCTAAATAACTGTAGCTCTGGTGTTGGTACGTGGTACCTTGGATGTGTGCACAGAGCTTCGTGAGTTAGGGGAGTCCTGGTGAAATTCTGCTAAATTACTGCAGTGAAATTCTGGTAGATAACTGTAGCTCTGGTCTTGGTACGGATGGTCATTAGTTCTTATCTTGGTAACATCCGATCTGCTGGTATGGGGGGGGGGTGCAATCTGTGGCCTTCTCATTGTGCACGGCGTGGGTGTCTCCTGGCGGAGCTAAACTGTGAAATGGGTATGGGGTGAGCGGAGGTCGAACTGTGAGATGACTATGGGGTGGGCTATGGCGTACCTTACCTACTGGGTATTTCATCTAGGCTTGTGTTTGCTGTATTTAGTGCTGTAGGTGAATGTATACTACCGAGACCGGAGGAGAGTGTGCTGTGTTTAATGCTGGAGGTGGGTGTTACCACCGAACTGGGAGGAGGAGAGAATGCGAGCAGAGGATGATAATCTGCCACGTAGTTGAGGTACGTGCCGATCACTGTGGAGTGCGTAGCACGTTCGATTGGCTGGGACATGAGTTGACCGTGGTTATACATAAGGCATAAGGACTTACCACTTCAACGGCTTGAATGCACAATTTTTCGTGTCCTGCCGAATGGATGGGATGCATTACGGCAGATGTGCGTTGAGGGTCCGTTGGATATGTTCTTTTCATAAGTTTGATCGGACGTTGACCATGCGTATACGACTCGAGGACGACATGTCGTACCGAATGTTCATAAGTTTGATCGGACGTTGAACATGCGTATACGACTTTAGACGACATGTCGTACCGAATGGGCGGACGTGAGTATGAGATTCAGTACTGTACATATGCGTGTATGTTTTGTCCGTTTGATTATGTTCTTGTTGAGTTTGATTACAATCGATCGACGTTGCTTGGTTGATTCAATGTCGAGTTTG